CTTTCATTCATTTCATTCATTATTTTCATTCATTACTTTCATTCATTTCTTTCATTAATTTCATTCATTTCTTTCATTCATTTCATTCATTATTTTCATTCATTTCTTTCATTATTTTCATTCATTTCATTCATTCTCTTGGTTATTAATTGAATTATATTTCTAAAAAAAGAATGGGGATGTTCTTCTGAGAAAAAATGATATGTTGGAAATGTTCGTCCTTTCGCGTACAATGATATGCAAATAAATAAATGCATAATTTTCCCATTTATCAAAAAAACAAAATTCTCATAAAAATATGATTTTTTTAATACAAATAAATAAAAGAAAGGAGATATCAGTCTTTTACAAAAATTGATAACAACTAAAAATACAGTATAATTATCTAGTGAAATGCAACCCAGATCGAAAAGCAAATTAAGAAAAAGATTAACACGTACGTCTTTGCTTGGTCATGCTCCTGACTCTTTGAGATGAGCACATCAACGTTTGCTCTCTGTAATTCCAATTGCTTTTCGAGATCGTGAATAACATTACTCAATTCGCTATTTTCCCTATCAAGTTCGGCGATTCTGGCTTTGCACTCATCTATAGTTAATTTTTTGCTTGATAAATTGGTCTGTTTCCTCTGTCTAGTCTGTGAAGAATCTTCCATGAGTGACAATCTATTTCACCTTTCACGGACAAATATGGTCAATTTCACAATCATTCGAATTGAAAAACAGATTTTGTGAGCATTTGTGCATCATGTGAAATCATTAAAGCAAGGAATCAGAATCGAGAAATATTGAAATATATAAAATGAGAAGAATCTTATTAAAAGTCGTAAAATATTAAAATGGGTCATTGAAATCATCTTCCTGGAGCTGATAAAATGTATGAAAGAATCAGTTTTATGAAAGAATGTAATAGCTTGAAAAGCCCCTTTAGTTTATCTCTAAGAGATGGAAAATTCTTATTCCAAGCTTGATATTTTGCCCAATAAAGATATTATTTTATGAACAATATTTTCAATAAAGGAGTAATAGAAAGTTAAAATAATATGAAGTCTAGAACCATTTTATATTATAAGTTTGTCATGAAGAAAGTATTCAGAAATCATAAAATGTTGAGAAAGTTTCTTCCCAATGATTTGGAATATACTCAGTTTTATTGATTATTTTGCCATCATTTACTTTTCTAATTTTAGAATAGTGAATATTGTTCCATTAAATAATAAGATAAAATACACCGCTCTACGACCTATTTAAACTTTCATAGTGTTTATCACAGAAAGATCATCAAAAATAACAAGAAATATAATCAAAAGTAATGAGAAAAAAACATCATTTTTAAACAGGCTTTGGTTCCCACAATAAAACGTTGTTGTCGTTTCCGCACGATGCAAACATATGAGCGTGCGACGACCACACGACGTCAAATACACCCATTGGATGAGCGCGCATTTTATCCACAACTTTTCCACTTTCTGCATCCCAGCAATAAATTTTCCCATCATCTGAACCACCAATCACAGTTTTGTCATCAGGACCATATCTCGCTCTCACGAAATGCTTTGACGCATTTGAGTGGCCCTTGAGAAGCACAACACTGTCAGTCTTTCTTAAGTCCCAAATTCTGTTTGTCGAGTCCTTGGTGGCCGCCAAAATGTGCGTAAATGACTTATCGGCAGACAAAGAAGTAACTTCGCTTAAAACTGGAGCAAGTTGAATAGTTGCCAAATAGCTACGAACATCCCACAACTGAACAGTCAGGTCAGCTCCACCAGAAACCACCAGTTTTCCAGTATTATCAAATTGCACAGCAGTTACAGCACCACTGTGCCCTTTCAGAATGGTCTCCGCAACTTCAGTGGGTGAATCCCAAACAACAATCGATTGATCATAGCCACCTGAAACAATATGTCGATCGCCATTTTCTATATCAACACAATAAACATCGCCAGTGTGTCCTCTAAAAGTAGCTTTTTCTTTTTGCTCGTGAAGTGACCATAATTTCACAGTCGAATCACTTGATGATGTAACTGCATGTTTCTCGCTTGCTGCAATCGACCAAACACGCCCATTGTGACCGTTAAGGCGTCCCACGCATTTTTTAGTAGCGGCGCTCCATAAGCAGACGGTTTTGTCATTCGACCCAGATAATAACAGATTTGAGCCAGGGACAAAAGCGAGCGATTTGACAGCAAGGGAATGAACAGTAGGTAATGCTATTGCTTTTCCTGTTGGTATAACCGGCGGTTCGAAATCTGATATCAATGTCTGAATTGGCTTATCAGGTGGAAAAGTGCCGTATTGAAAAGTGACCGCTTGCTTTATGAGTTCAATGAGACGATGAGGTGGTGGACTTTTTTCGATGAATGGCGTATCGCATTTTCCGAGTTCTTGATCGATTGCGTTGATAATCTGTCGAATTGATTCTTCGAGGTCGGGAAGTTGTGGAATTTGCGATGGTGAGGCAGCCTCGACGACGAGGAGGCAAAGTCGATCGAAATCGCCCGGAACGTCTTCGTGCGATCTATATTCTCGTAAGCGCGTGGAAAGAAATTGCAATGCAGTTGTTGTGTCGCCTTGAAGGAGTAACTCGTAGAATCGGTGGCGTAAAATCGTATAAAGCAATTGTGGATTCGCGCATAAGTCTGCAGTTAGATTTTCGATGGCCGTCCAATCACCAGATGTGATACTACCCCTGAGTTTGGCGAGCTGTTTTCCCCTGTGCGTGTTTTGGGCACATTGAAATCGGATTTCATCGCGAAGATTGAGTGCAGAGGCATAATACTTGGAATCTTCGAGATATTGAACAATCATTGAGAGTATTTCACTTTTGATACAAGGGTCATCTGGATGCAATGCAGTTTTTAAATCAGGACGGGAGAGATTGGAAATCATTTGATTGATGGAGAACGTTAAATTGTTTACTCCCTAAACGTTCTCCTGAATGAAACATTTCCATGATGATACCACAAGACTATTATTTCTTGAGTGAAAAGTAAATTGCATACGCTCTTTTTACTGGAAAATAATGAAATAAAATGAAATAACGAAAAGATTATGCGAAAAAAAGAAAATTTCGAGTTTGAAATCATTTTTGAATAGATGAAATAAGAAAATGAGAGGGGAAAAATAACTTTTAAACTACAAAGTAAATCTATTCCATTAATCTATATATGAATAATAATGAAAAGATGAAGAGTCTTCAAGATTTCATCTCAATATCAAGCAAATTAATGAAAAATTAATTGATTAAATCATGAAAATTTTGAAAAGCGCATTCTCTTGTGGTGTAGCGGTTATCATATGGGACTTTGAATCCCGGGATGGAGGTTCGACTCCTCCCAAGAGAAACACTTTTTTTTCTCCTTTATTCATCCTTTTTTTTCTCAGCTCAGAGGAATTTTATCATAGAGTCTTTTCAAATATTTGACGCATATGACGCCAATCATCTTGAAAGACCAAGCTACTGTTTTTTTCACATCAAAAGAAACTTATGAAAAAATAATGTAACATCAATGCACACAATCCAATAAGAATTCTTGATATTGTGAATTATAAAAACGGGAAACTGTAATTATTGGCAAAAATGAGTTTCAACGGATAGTTTGTTTTCAGAAATGAAGAGTGGATGGGGGAAAAAAGAAGTGAAAAGGGAAAAAAGATTGGGGCGATTCGGGAATCGAACCCGAGACCTCTCGCACCCAAAGCGAGAATCATGCCACTAGACCAATCACCCTGACGAAGTCCCTCAAATACTTGAAAGGTAAAAGATTACA